TCTCATATATTGTCACCTTTTGACTTAAATTTAATATTTTCTTGCCTAGAAATGAAAATTTAGAAATTTTCTAATATTTTTCAGTGAAAGTTTCACATTAGAAAATTAGCATTGATCTATCTCATTTTTCCCGTGTATCTATTTTTATTTACATATCTATTTATCTATCAGTCTCTCTCTCTATATATATATATGTCACTCTCTCTATATATATATGTCACTCTCTCTCTATATATATATATGTCACTCTCTCTCTCTATATATATATATATATGTCACTCTCTCTCTCTCTATATATATATATATGCCACTCTCTCTCTCTATATATATATATGCCACTCTCTCTATATATGTCACTCTCTCTCTATATATATATCTATATATATATATATATATATATATATATATATATATATATATATATATATATATATATATATATATATATGTGCCTCTCTCTATATATATGTATGTCTCTCTCTCTCTCTCTCTCTATATATATATATATATATATATATATATATATGTCACTCTCTCTATATATATATATGTCTCTCTCTCTATTTACCTCTCTCTGTATTTACCTCTATTTCTTTTTCTCTCTCTGTATTTACCGCTCTTTCTCTCTCTCTCCCTCTCTCTCTGTATTTCCCTCTTTCTCTATTTACCACTCTTTCCCTCCCTCTGTTTACCTGTCTTTCTCACACCCTCTTTTTTCTCTCTGACTTTCTCTTTCTTTCTCTCTCACTCTACCCGTCTTTCTCTCTCTCTCTTTTTACCTGTCTGTTTGCTTGCATCATTTTTGACTTCTTCATCTAGACTGGATGTGTAGGTATCATGACTGTTATCAACTGGGACAATGGAATTGGCAAGCAATATTCAAATCATAGCTAATGCTGTTGCATTTACTTAGGCATTAATGCCTAGATGGGGACCATAAACCAGTCTCTTCTCTCTCTGTGTTAAAATAGCAGACTGGGCTTTTTAGCCTTGACAGGGACAGACTCAGAGAACAACTGCAAAACTTGAATGTCTTTCTGATGAACAGTCATGGCAATGCACAATTTAAAAGAAAACTGGATGCCTGTGTTTACCAATGTATTGAACGAATGTGACATTTTTAAAAAAGATTATTCATGTATGAATAATGTTTTATGCAGTAGCTAATATTCCATCTCTAATAGCCTAAATCTGAGTTAAGCCTTTTAATCCAAGACTAGCAGGTATTTTTTTTTCTTTACTGTGTAAAACTTACTCATACCTGACAATATGTGCTTAATAGCTTTCATATTTGTTTTAAGTATATCTTTATTGAAAATGCTCATACATTTTAATAGTTACTAGCAGTAGAGCCCGGCGTTGCCTGGGGATGTAACAGTAAGAGATAGATCAAGTATCAACCATCATAAAGACTGAAAAATAAAATTGACAAAGATTATTGTCTTAATTATTTTTTTTTTTTTTTTTTTTTTTTTTTTACAGTCTGGTCAAACTCAAACAAAAAAACATTGTTTTCAATCGTTATGAGTCTACTGATTGAATAGAATTTTATTATAAACAATTGTCTTGTAAATGGAATTTTTAAAGCATTCTGAATGTAAAAATAAAGGAAAAAGTGTGCAAGATAATAAGAAACACTACCTGCCAAAAAAAAGTGAAGTTTTGTTGAAATCGGTTGAAAAATGTATGAAATCTGATCCCATATATAAACAAATACACACACACACACACACACACACACACACACACACAACCTGGGTTTTATAATAAGTATAACTTGATATGAGTTGTCCCCCTTTCATTCTTGCAACAGTGATGCCTCTTAATCGTGTTTTCAAATTGATTTTGTGCAAAAACAATTGTGTTTTTCCAATTTTTGGCACTGTCAGAACCACCGTAAGGTAATTTTACGTAGTCCTGTGAAGTTTTGTTGAAATCAGTTGAAAAATGTAGGAAATCTGATCAAATATATAAACAAACAGACACGCACACACACACACACACACACACACACACAACCTGGGTTTTATAATAAGTATGATTTATACCATAATATTTTCATTTAGGTGTTTTTTCCTTGTTACTCTATTTCTTAACATTTATTTTCTTTTTTATTTCACTTTTGGATAGAAGGTTGTAACATCTTGTTTTATTCTCATTCCTAAATCCAAAGTGAGTTATTAGAATTTTGATTTAATTTTGTAGTGGAATGGATAAGTAAATTCTTCTCTGTGTGCTGTCCCTTCTGGACGTAGGCAATTTTGGCTCTCCACAACCTGTTTTCCTTTGTAGCTCTTAGCAATATTTGTCTCTTTGCCATCCTTCCCACCCATTGTATCACCATTCATTCACACAAGCTTATCGGGTAGGTGGCCTGCAGTCCCTCCCACCATCCCTTTTGTCCTTGACATGTCTAGTAAGTGTCAAATTCTCCAGGCTCACCTTCCGCATTTAGGGGAACAAATTTTCTGCAATTGCGGATGGAATTGTTAATCCTAAATGGAATCCGGATTTTTAATGTAATTTTCAATAATAACAAATTATTTGATCTTTTTTTTTTTTTTTTTTTTTTTTATTCTTTCAAAACCTAATAACTGTCTCTCCAATTTTCTTAAACATTTTAATAAATATGACAATAACATAACTTAGTTATTTCTTTTAAATTTATTTTTACAAATATTTTTAGTTTTTTCCTTAAAAAAATAATTAAGAACAAAAATGTTTATATAAAAAAAGATGAAAGTCAGAAGGTCACATCTTGGTTGTGGCCACTGAGATTCATTGCTAAAGTGGAAATGGGAAGATACACATTGATGTCAAAATTGAGAGAGAGACAATCAAACCAATAATTTTAACAAATTCATTTCCTTTAAGGATTCAGACAATTTACAAGTAGAAAATTCTAAACAACTTGTTTTATGAATATGAAAGAAAAGTAAATGCTATCATGCCTACCATACAATTTAGAAATAAAGAAAAAATTCTCCAAAAACACCACTGTATAAAATTACATGGACTGTCTAAGCTTTACCGTCACACAACAATTCTCCCAGATTAATAATTGCATCATCTTCAGTGCTTCACCATTGTAAACAAATTTAAACTGAACAAAAAAAAAATCCTTTAATAACATTAATTATCAATGATTATTTTTTCATATTTTATTTATATTTTGTAATCTAAACCAGTTGTATGAATAAGCAAAATAAATTGCCAAGATGACTGGATCAATCAATATAGTGAATTAACCTCAAAAATTGTGCATGCTCCTGTAAAAAAAAATAAATAAATAAATAACCCCAGTATCTAAAATTTTTGTTAAAGCCAGAGTAGAGCAATTTCCTGATGACTTTTATGCAGAAGAAAATATGTTATTTTGCAAATTCTGTCTCCATAGTGTTGACATTTTTAGGGTTGACACAATCAAAAGATTACATCAAATCAAAATACTCATTTGACAAAAAAGTTTTCAAAAAAGTTGACTCAACTGAAATGGAAGACAATCCCAACTTTGTTGAAGAGTAAAGAGGTACAAGATGATTTTGTCCTTGATTTTTTTGAAAATATACACTTTGTCTGACATTCTCCTACACAAAATTGACAAAATGAGGTCATTCATACTAAAACAGTTTCAGTCAATTTCTCTGTAGTTTCCCTCTGCCTTTTCTATAAGTATTTTCATGGTAATTGTTTTGATGAATTTTCCTTTATGGTATCTAGACTTTATGAATTTAAGTGCCGTATTAGATTGGTGGTAAGGTCTCATCATTTTACAGTTGAAATGGGTAGAACGTAACTGTAAGTTTTATGGTAACAGTTTCTTCTATTGTACTTCACACCTGTGGATCTCTCTTCCAGCTTCTTGCTTTCCAGTACACTTTGATCGTCAAAAATTTAAATGCAATCTCAATTGTTATCATCTTTTTAATTCCTCTTTTATTGATCTCCCTCCCCAATGATGTGTTTCTACAGGTTTTATCATATTACAGTTGAAATCACTAGATGTAACTGTAAGTTCTATGCTAACAGTTTAGTAGTATGGCCCACCTTATGAAGAATGGTGTCTCATGTAGCTTACTGTTTGTAAAAGTTTACCCAGGCCTGAGCTAGATGTAACTGTAAGTTCTATGCTAATGGTGTCTTCTATAGTGCTTCTTGCTTGTGGAAGTCTCTTCTGACTTCTTGCTTTCCCGTACACTTTAGTCTTCAAAAATTTAAATGCAATCTCAATTGTTATCTTCTGTCTTCTCAATTATTAGTATTTTATTGTTCTTGCTCCTTAATGATCTTTTTCCTCATATTTTCGCACCCCCCTTGAAACTTAGTGGCTTTTTTGCCTTGCTTCTGATAAATTGATTAAAAACAAACCAAAAAAAAACTTGATGCAAAAGATTTGGTTCTACAGAAGGATGCTGGGAATACCATGGTGCATGTAAGCAACAAGAAATTTTTTAAAGAAAAAGGGTAACAAAAAGACACTTATGATAATTGATATGATAGTTGAAATGTCTGGGGCATATAATGAAGAAAGCAGGTTTGGTGAATTCAACACTTACAGGTCATAGTAAAGGCAAGAGAAGCTAAAAGAAATGAAGAGTAACCTATGTAACAAGCTTGTGAAAATGGGTGGCAGAACAGGAAGTGGACGGTATAGTGAAAAGACAAATATTGCTCAAGGCTCTAGAGAGAGATGTGCTACAGAAGGATGCTGAGAATACCATGGACAGAGTATGTGAACCATGAGAAAATTTTCCTGAAAATGGACACTAACAGGACAATGGTGCATAAAATCAGAAAGACAGTAAAAAAAAATTAGAGACCCGTAATTAGGTTCAAATGATTAGAACATAGTAAAGCCTGGGGACAAAAAGGACACTTACCAGAAAGAAACAGTTGAAATTCCTAGGCCACATTATGAGGAAAGAGGGCTTGGAAAATTGGATACTCACAGGACAAATTTAATACTTGTGTAAATGGATGGCAGAATAGGGATTGGGATGGATATTAAAAAGACAATGCTAAGAGCTACAAAAAATAGGAAGTTGTGAAGAGCCATGATTGTCCACGTTCTGAAGAGATAGTGAGAAACATTGAGTAAACCTAGTTAACGAGATTGTGTAAATGGATGGCAGAAAAGGGGTTTGGTAGGGAAGTAAATAAAAGAACAAAAAAACAAACATTGAAAAATGGTACAAAGCATAGGAAGTTGTGAAGAGCCATGATTGCCCACATCCAGAAGGGACATGGCACATAGAAGTGACTAGTATCATCATTAAAATAACTATTTAGAATTCATGTACAGAAGAATAAAGTTATGACTAAATGTGTTTCTGCTGTAAATATGGAACCAGTGATAATTTATATTTGTTTCATAGAGTCCTTAGTAAATAAATGATAGCTTTGACAGGGATTAGTGTGAAAATTGTTCACTTAATCCTATTCTACTTATTGAAGGCTTAGATATTTATAGAAATATTAATTAGTTCTTATAGTTCTTATGACTGTGAATATTGCTTTGTAAAGTAAGAAGGTTTCTTTACCTTATCTACAGTTTAATAAAAACTTACTTTTATTTATTAAATTGTTAATGAATAAGAATAGACTTGAAAGACATTCTTGTAACTGGTGTTGGGGTATTAAATCATGAAGTTTTTTGGACTTCAAAGTTCAATGTACATTGTGTGTGTGTGTGTATGTATATATATATATATATATATATATATATATATATATATATATATATATATATATGTGTGTGTGAAAAGTGTATATAAATATAAGTATGTATAATTATTTATATATTATATGCACGGTACTTATTAGAAAGCGCTCAATATCAGAGATAGAGCTAACATATTTATATATCAGACAATTTGTCTGACGATCGCTAAAGCGTGAAACCCAGGGTCACAAACTCACATCTATCCAACCAAATATATATATATATATATATATATATATATATATATATATATATGTGTGTGAAAAATATATAGAAAATAGGAAAGAACTCGTTAGGTAAATAATCCAAAGTTCTTTAGTATTTTTTGTTATTATTTTTAAAAATAGTGCTCGATACAAAAGTAGAGCATAAATATAATTATTTATTTAAAAATATGATTCCAACACGCTACATAAGAGTTCTCGTGTTTCAAAACAAGAGCTGAAAACTTCAAAATAATTATTTGAATTAAATTGAATTAAAGTACTAAGCTCTGTTCCATCTTCAAGTGAAATTTTTGGATCCCAAAAACTTGAAGATGGAACAGAGCTTCGTACCTTAATTCAATTTAATTCAAATAATTATTTTGAAGTTTTGGCTCTTGTTTTGAAACATGTGAACTCTTATGTAGCGTGTTGGAATCATATTTTTAAATAAATAATTATATATATCACTTTAAATCTTACTAAAGAAAATTTGCACTCTCTGGCAAGATTTGAACCTGTGTCCCTTAAGGCAGAAGGGAATCTTGTTTAGATTCAATGTGCCTTAACAAACTCGGCCATGAAGAAGCTTTGCTAATCAAGCAAGATCTGATCCTTCTCATCATAGATTCCTCAAAATTATCATTGACAAATATATATATAATTATAATTAAAATCTGTTGTTGAAGAGAATGAAACCTTTTTTTTTTTGCTTTCTTCTATGTGCTGTACACTTTCAGAACATGGATGATCCTGGCTCTCCACAACATTCTATTTTTTTGCTTAGGTATTCCTTAAAGATGTTGGTTTTGCTCTCAAAAATGAATTGGTAATGTCATGTGAAATAAAATTTATGGCAGTTATTTAAAGTTTATACCCCTCCCCCATGCACACATTTTTTTTTTTTTTTTTTTTTTTTTTTTTTTAGGTCAGTCTTTAAGGGAAAAATTCTAAATTTAATGATATTTTTGTTAAGATTTTGTTTGGGGGGTGGGCAGGGAAAGATAATATTTTCCATATGTGTTTCTGTGATTTGAATATGACCTTTATTTCTTAAAGACTTGTGTAGTTTTTTCAAAATTATTTATTCATTTGTAATGTAATACAAGTATAATATGAAAATGACCCTTTACTTTGTATTCATTTTTGTGCTAACATCCACTCTTTTTTGTTAGTTCATAACATTTATAATTTTAAAGTATGGGAGCCTAAAAGCAGAAAAGATTTAAGTTACATTTATTTCTTTTTTTATTCTCCTTTTACAAGGAACTCTATTCGTGATTTAAAAAAAAAAAACTTCATTCCTGAGTTACTATTTCAAAAAAAGAAAATATTACTGAACTAATTTTTATTTTTTTTAGGCTTCTGTATTTTAAAATTACATTTGCATAAAGACTGACACAAAATCAGGATACATTTTGTTTTTAGGCTTCTATACTTTAAAATTACATTTGCATAAAGACGGACACAAAATCAGGACACATTTTGTTTTTAGGCTTCTGTATTTTAAAAATACATTTGCATAAAGATAGACACAAAATCAGGACACATTTTAGCATTCAATTTATATTGTAAATCATACATCATAAAGACTGGCACAAAGTAATAGCTCTGTTTGGCATTGTAGCTATGTTGCTTCTAATTGAACCCCCATTTTAGAGCTATTTCACTTTAAAAAGGTAATTTTTTTTTTCAAAAATGCCAAATCTCTTTAATACACAAAGGTCATATTTTACCAAAGTGGGTCCAAACAAAAATATATATTCTGACAAAAATGCATGATTTCAGTTTAACAAACTTAACCAATTATTTTTTTTTTTTTTTTTTTTAACGGGAAATTTCCTTGCTGTCATTTTATCATAATATTAGCCTGCCTTTGTTACTCATAATTTGTTTCTGTAACACTTTTCACCTGTCAGTTTTGTTTTCATAACTTACCTGTTGCAGGTAACTGCTGGATATGAAACCTTTACGCTTTTTCTTCATTTTTTTTTTTTCTGAAATGCATATTGTTCTAGTTTTAATCAGTAAGTGTTCCTTTAATTTCAGATGCTTATGTAAATTACCAGACAGCTTCAAATCTACGGAGTGCCAGTGGTACACCTGAGAGACAAAGACATCAAAATGGAATTCACGAAAGGAATATAAATACTGTTAAAGAAGATCCCAATATGCCCGATACAGCTGTTATTGTAAGTAGATTATATACACACACACATGCGCACACACACACACACATATTAAAACAAAGCAACCCACACTCAACAAAATTACATTTCAAGCCGGTCACAACATATTATGATGCATTTAAACATGTTTCTGTTGATAATATTTCTTTCTCTCATGTGACTGTGTATGACAACATAGAACCACATTACGAATTTACAATATGTGTCTGTGTGTTGTAGAGTGGAGGCTTGTATTTTCAACTAAGTCGTCCTAAATTAGGTTTGACGTACAAAACGTTAGGAACTTGAAATAAGAGTTAATGACGCAGCAATCTAGTTGTAATGGTTGATATCCGACATCGACTGACTCACTCAACTCCACTGAGCTCAACTGTCGACCGCTACTACTACTACTACTACTTATTATGTGTGGGAGAGTCTATTAATAATAGAATAGGTATGTTCAGGTATGACAGTCTGCTGTTCCATAAATGTTAGTGTTGCATAGCAAACTACTATATAAACGAAACAAGATCTGTCTTAATGGCTTTAATGCCTTATTTGGGGTGAAATGATTAAAAGATGAAGAAGAAAAACAATGCAGCAACAGATGTGGTTCTACAGAAGGATGCTGAGAATACCATGCATGGTGCATGTAAGCAACAAGGAATTTTTAAAGGAAAAGGGTATCAAAAAGGACAATTAGAATTAGAATGGGATTGTTGAAATGTTTGGGACATATAATGAGGAAAGTAGGTTTGGTGAATTCAACACTTACAGGTCATAGTAAAAGAAAGAGAAGCTAAGAGAAATAAAGAGTAACTTATATAACAAGCTTGTGTAAATGGGTGGCTCAACAGAGAGTGGACAGTATAGTGAAAAGACAAATATTGCTCAGAGCTCTAGAAAGAGATGTGCTATAGAAGATACCATGAACAGAACATGTAAGCATTTTTTCTGTGGTCTGGTTTCAAGGATGCTGGATTAAAGAGGTTGGATTGTATTTAATGAATAAATAAATAAAACAAAAATCAATAAACAGATTTGTCATTTCTTTTATTGAACACCTTTTGTTATCAATGCCACCCCTGGCCTGTCAATCTGTTCTGTTTACACAGCTTACCTACTCAATGTATAACGTTTTATGATTTCTCTTAATGTTTCTACTCTGCATATTGTCTTAAGTTTAATTAGTGAGGGTTACCTTAATTTCAGATGCTTATGTAAATTGTTTCATGAATTTCAGGCAACAAAAATAGTCAAAGATTTTGAAAGTAAAAAAAAAAAATGTTCTTTACCTGCCACTTTAGTAGATCACAGGTTTTTTGGTCCTGTGCAGGCCATATAAAACATTTAAAGGGAACATTGGTATAATAATATATTTGAGTTTCTCAGGAATTTCCTCAAAAGAAACCCTAATATCCTGTGGTATTGGTCATTGTAAATGGTTAATGGAAAACACTTGTGAGGTGCCCACAGGCACAAACAACATAGTCGGGATGTTGTAAGACATGTCCTTGCCTCTGATGGCATCCTATGTTTTTGTATGTAACATCATCACTGTATATAGTTTGTATAATCACAACAGAGGTTTTCATTTGATCTCCAAAGTTAAGCAGTATCAAGCCTGCTTAGTACTTATATGGGTGACCACTTGGAAACACCTGTGTACTGTAGGCAACCTCCTACAATGTATGTTTCAGTTTTAAATAACTTACAGTGGGTTGATAAGACATCTTTGATAAAATCCAATATATATATATATATATATATATATATATATATATATATATATATATATTTTTGACAAAAAAATCCAAATCTATATATTTAGAGGTTTTTGACAAAATCCAAATCTATATATTTAGAGGTTCTTGATAAAATCCAAATCTATATATTTAGAGGTTCTTGATAAAATCCAAATCTATATATTTAGAGGTTCTTGATAAAATCCAAATCTATATATTTAGAGGTTCTTGATAAAATCCAAATCTATATATTTAGAGATTCTTGATAAAATCCAAATATGCAATGTTATTGTTCCTGACCTGGCATCTCGGAATCACTTTCCCACCAATGTAACGTAGCTTCCTTCTTCCGTATTTTTATGGTAATTGTTCTGATGAGCTTTATTCTTTGGTACTTTGACTTTATGAATCTAAGTGCAGTACTAGATTGGCAGCTAAGTCTCATCATCTTACAATTGAAATTACAGATTATAACCATAAGTTCTGTGCTCACACTTCTTACTTGTGGGACTCTCTTCTGACTTCTTGCTTTCCAGTCAAATTTGATGTTCAAAAATTTAAATGTAATGTCAATTGTTATTTTCTGCCTTCTTAATTCCTATTCTTTTATTGTTCTCTCTCTTTAATAATATATTTCTTTTTCTTATATTCTTTCATATTTGCATCTTATTGTCTTTATTGCCTTGCTTTTTAAAAAAAAAAAAAAAAAAAAATTTTTTAATATCACCCCATGCAAGGCATGCCTCTAAAACACAAGGGGCTACTGAGTGAGTGTGAGAACAATAAAAGAAGAATCAAGATGACAGTAGATAATGACTGATATTGCATTTAAATTTTTGAAGATCAAAGTTAACTGGAAAGCATGAAGCCAGAAGAGAGTTCCACAAGTGAGAAGTGTTAGCAAAAAACTTAGTTACATCTAGCCATTTCAACTGTGAACTGATGAGACCTTACCTCCATTCTAGTACTGTGCTTAAATTCATTTGAGCAAAATCCTAAAAAAGAAGAAAAACAATCATTGTTTGTATTAAAGCAGTGAAAATTATTTTCCTTAGATTCCTCCTCTTCTTCCTTTCTGTCCTCTTTATCAGTTTTTCACAAATTGACATCTATTCGACTTGTGCACATGAAAAGTCTTCTGTGTTTCTTTACAATCAGAGAAAGAGAGTTGAAAAACTTGTAGATACATGTGCTCTTGGAATAATGGCAATTCTTCTTGGATAGAATTTTACATCTTTTCCTGGGAAAAATGTTCCAGTCTTACCATTAAGTGCTCCAAATATTTTCCCTGCACCCACCACCTCAGCTCTACCATTGCCAACACCATTTTGAAGGTTTAATGTTTCTTTTATCTTTTTTTTCTTGTAATAGCCTTTACCACTGACGTGTGGCATGATTTAGAGTTACTGTGTGCATTTTGTTAACACCAATCTGTACACACTGACGTTACACAAGAAAGTGTTTAAAGATATTCATTTTTTTTTTTTTTTTTTACACTATCTTGAAATGTCAGTTCAATTTCATTTGTAAAATATATAAAAGTTGGCAGGCTTTTTTGTTTTCTAATTGAAAAAAATGCAAGTTAAATTCACTATTAAAACATATTCATACTTTATAGAGACATAAAATTTAAATCCCTTCTTTGAATGTTGTTTGGGTTTTTTTGGGCGGGGTTTCTTTCAATTTTAGTTCATATATATGTATATAAAATGTATGCTTATTTACTGGGCTTTTCAATTTGAAATGAAAGGGAAATATATATAAAAAAAAATTGTATAGTAAATACAATTTCTAATAACATTTGTTGAAATGCTCTGCTGATTTTTCTTTTTCATCAGTAATTGAATGAATTTGAAAAGATTTGAAAAGACTTTACAATTTTCTCTCATAAAATGAGAAAATGTAGATTTTAAAAACAACAGATTGTTATTTAAAATTTTGTACTTTAATGAATATTAATTATTAATAAATAAAAAGAAAAGCCAGCAAAGCTTCAACAGCAGCAATAAGTAAAGAGAAGGCATGGTAAATGCAGTAAAAAAAAAAATAGCAGCTGCAGCAGTATCAGCATAGAATATTAGGTTTAAGGTTCAATAGCTCAGTGCATATAATTATTGATGTGATGAATTACCTGAAGCTAAATGAGCACCAGAGCTGGGGTCTACTACCTTGGAATCCCCCAACCAGGGGAAGGGAAAGCCTGAATGGAATGATTTATTATGACATGTCTCTAATTTGTATTTAGATACATTTTATTTATTTTCAATTTTTCTAGTTGAATTATTCATCTATATTGCATATGATCCATTATTGTACATAATTTAGGCTACAATAAAATCTGTATTTTATATGAATACTGCCTAGTAGTAGAAGTCTAGTAGTCTAGGGAGTAGAAGAGGATTCATATCTTGGGAAAGGTATGAATCCTCTTCTTCTCCCCCCAGCTATGGGTAAATAGCAGGACAGACCGGGTTCTATAGCATTGGATGGCAACTGGCCTACAGCAGAAAGAAATTGCAACCTACTGAAGGGGAAAAAAATTTGCATTGTCAGTCATGTATTAAAAGATGATTGCCTAAGTGTGTATCACGCATGGCACATAACTGACTGACTGACCTGGTAGTTAGATAGTCCTTTCTTCTTGCTTTCTTTTATTACC